GTTGAAACTTTATATGTATTTTGGAAGATTTGGTCCTCATTTGACTTGGAAATGGTTATTATGCAATTAGGATTTTTGCATTTTAGAAAGTATATCTAGTAAAATGAGGAAAATTATATTTATAATTTTGCATGTTTAACGAGATTTCTCCTCTTTACTTAATTTTGCAAGTAAATTATTGATATAGTCAATAAAGGCTATAATCTTCCTTTGATTATTCTTGTGTACTTGTTAAGAGGGAATATCTATTTATTGTCTTTTACTTTTGTAAATGAAGAAAAAAAAGGAAAAAAGAAAAAGAGTTTTTGTTCAACTCCAATGACTCATGTACCGAGTAACCGAGGGTTGGCATCTACAAATGTTGATATTCATGTAAAAAGGTACTTGAATTAAGAGTATGCATAGCAACTTAAATATGTGAAATGTTGAATAACCGGGGATCTTCACCTAAAAGTGTTGATTTTCACGTCAAAAGGCATTTTCACTATTTGAGTAAAAATCAATGTTTAAACATAGAATATGTGTTTTGTGGGCTTTTAGCGCAATTAAATGTTTCTTATATACAAATTTATTCAATATTGCAAAAATAAGATAAAAATTTGTATATATTGTGATTCATTATTTGTAGCAGTTATCAGGGTCATTTAATGGCATAAAATTGTAAAATCGTTAACATAAGATGTAAAACTATAACATGTATATGCAAATATATAGAATAGACAATCAATGTATATTTAGTCAAATAAATAAATGAATATTTACTTCACTAGTAAATTGTATAGTTAGACATATAAATGGAGTTCAATATTAAGCAAATAAGATTTATCAGAAAGGAAATACAAATAGCATCATTTTTTTTAAAGATTTTATCATAGAAATGGTGAAGGAAACTATAAAAAAATTTCAATAGTTTTGGGGGTGCAGTAGTGGAACAAGATAGAATATTTTGAAAATTCTAGAGGGAGAGGGGAGGAAGGAAGGGTAAAAATTTGGCAATTATAAAAACCTAAACTTTGTATAGGTTGTTTTATAGCTTTTAAAAAGTGAACGGGTGCAATTTCAACCCCTAAAAACAATGTGTCTCTGCCCCTAAATATATAGTCCTCACCAACTTCTACGAACTAGGGGTAGATGAAGTTGATATTTGGTGGGACTTTATGTTTGTTAAATTCTTTGCTTGATTTAGTGCATCATCAAATAACTTTGTTGTACTCTAGCAAACTAACTTAATGTACAAAAAAATCACTTATTCTGTAAGTAATACTAAATGTAAGTGTACACTAAATCTCAGAAGAAGTGAAACAACAGTATACAACCGTATTGAACTCAATTGCACCTACATCCCCAAACTTATATTTTGTGAAAATGGGTTTACAAAATCAAGACCCACTTTGATGAAACTGTTGAGTGTTACGAAGCTTGCTTAGTAGCCAAAGGGTACACTCAAGAGTATGGCATAAACTATATAGAAACTTTTGTTCCACTAGCTCGATTGACATCTATCCGCAGTCTCTGAGCTATTGCTTCAGTTCGTAAATAGAAGCTTTTCCAAATGGTTGTTAAAATCGCCTTCCTTTATAGTCATTTAATAGAAGAGGTTCATATGCATCCTCCTGGCTATCATTCTCCTCATAAGGTTTGTAAACTTTGACGAGCCTTGTATGGACTAAAGCAAGATCCCAGGGCTTGGTTTGCCAAATTCAGTTCCACTCTTGCTCAATTTGGTTTTGTTTCTAGTTGATAGGGTGTAAATTGTAGTTCATTTATTGGTATAAATTGCTAGTTAATTATGTTATTTGAGCTTTATATTGGATAGAAATTACTTAATTTTTCTTGTATATTTTTCTAAAAGGTTAAGAGCTCAATTGAAGAGAAAATGGACTAAAAATGTGGTGTGAAGTAGCAATAAAAAGGGAAAAAGTCAAGAGGAACGGGTTTGGCAGGATTGATATGTTTTAGGATTTGGTGATAACTTGAGCTACACAAAGCGGGTTTAGATGATTCTTAATTCAATTTGAAGCTAAGAGAATGCTCTACAACTCGTATGAAGACATCAAAGTTTGGTTCTCTCATTTTCATAGTCAAAAATGCAAATTACTGAAGTACAAGTGCGCTGCGATGCTCTTACAACCAGGTCTCAATATTTTAGGAATATCTTAGTGTCTAGACCTCCAAATGACTTGATTCTTATGGAATTGGAAAACGTGTTAAAAGGGCTACAACTTTCATGTTTTGATCAAGAACTGATTCAACTTATTTGATTGAGCTTTTGAGGCTCAAAGTCAAGCATTGGACTTGGCACCGGATTTCACGCCGAACATTGCCAGATTCTTTTATGCTACTTGCTTGGCCCGAAGACCAGCGCCGGATGCTGGCCTATCATCGGGCTTCGGGCTGGTCTTCATTGAGAAAAAGTGTGGAAATGTGATTTTTTTAGTGTAATAAAGCTTATTCCTATCCTAGTTAGGATATATCTCCAAGAAACTATAGATAGGGGTTCTTTAGATCATTTTTAGGGTGGAAAACATTAGTCTAGACAAGTTTTAACATCTTTTCCTAGTTTCTTCTTGAGAGATCAAGATCAAATAAAGGCAAATCAGGGAGCGCGCAAGAAGATAAGATTGGAGCGAGCAACTGAGAAGTTTTCTTACTCTTTCTCGCATCTTTGCAGTAACTCTTTGAATTTGTGGTTATAATTGTCAAATCATGTTGAACTAAATTGTTTCTAGAGTTAGAGTTTTTATGAAAGAATTTGATTCATTCTTTTAGTTTAATTCCTTGTCTTTTACTATGATTTATTTATCTTGTTCTTAATGCGTATTTATGCCTGATCGCTATGATTATAAATGTTGGGTTTGTGTCAAATTGAGAAAGGAGATACAACCATGCACTAGATAGATAAATACACGTAGACTAATCACAAGAGTAGGTTAAGATATGCATGATGCATCTATATCACTGAGAATCTTAATAGGTTTAATTGAACTTTTATGACCATCGAGAGAGGCGTAGGATTTAATTAAACATACTTTAGATGCATCGAGAGGTGGTCTAAAATATATTCATGTGATGCATTTATAGTTTATTAAGAATTTAACTAGATAATTGATTCAAATTCTAGATTAAAACATGAAACCTTAAACTCGCGTCTATTGTTTTCTCATCACTACTTTATTTGGATTGTTAATTTTATTGTTTAGTTAGAAAATGAAACTCTTGAATTTGAATTTTATTATTTTGTTAGAATAATTAAAGTAGAAAATTAATTCGTCCTGTGGGTTCAACCCTGGAATACTCCAGATAATTTATTACTTCAATCGACCCTGTGTGCTTGCACGAATTCATCGATTAATTTTTTGGCGCCGTTACCAGGGATTATTTTATTTTATCTTATCTTATTTTATTTCTAGTTCTTCACTTTTAGTTTTGACTTTTCTTGTTTAGGTGTTTGGTGTATGACCCGATCTCAAAAAGGTAATTTGAATTTTGACCCAGAATTTGAAAAAACTGCGAAGTACTTGAGGAAACAAACTCACTTGCAAAAATAAACTTTTGTAAGGATCGAAGACAACCTAAGAGGGGGGTGAATTAGGTTTTCTAAAAACCAGCTGAGATATAAGTCACTCTTTTTTCAAGCCTACCCTGCTATTCTCAAAGACCACTCAATGGATCAGATTACAAGAAAATACTGATGTTCGTGAGATGAAAGTGTGAACAGATTATATAGTTAAAGCTGTAAATGAAGATAGAGAAAAAAACAAACCAGACTTCAAACTCCACTTGAGTTTGAACAGAACTTTATATAACCAGCTACTTCAAGTTGAACAAGCTTGCAACCAATTTCTTGTGTACAAAGGATGGATCACTTCCTTGTTGCCCCAAACCACACTTGGTCAAGTAAGGAAGTTTTACACACTTTGAAAACCCTCACAAAGCTACACTATTGAAGAAGCTTAGACACACTTGAAAAGCTACAAGAAAATTGAACAAGCAAGGAGTACAAACGTTCCTTTGGAGTATTCTAGCACTTGAATCACTCACTATCTGATGTAGACTTGATGTGCAAAGTTCTTTTTCGGTGGTTGACTTTTTCCTCTTTATAGGAGACCAGAAAATTCTTCAATTAATGCTGTCAACGGATAGAAGGAAACTGAAGAGTCAACTAGCCGTTGGTGCTGTCGGACGTCCGACACTCAGTTTTCATGCATCCGAATGAGATCAATGATTTCTGGAAGTTTTCTTGAATCTCTTTAGAACGTCCGATCCCTCATCACCATGCGTCCGAGGGTAAGATGCACACTGGGATTTTTCTCTTCAATACCTTCGGACGGCCAATGTGTCCAGAGTGTTGCGTCCGAAGTGCAGCAACGCTTGTCGGACGTCCGATACATAGATGTTGAGCGTCCGATCCTGAACAGTAATCAAGTAACTCCTGGCTTGTCTTCTTTGAACATCCGAGTCTGAGTTCTTTACTCGTTCGAAGATACTCAAAGAATGTCGGACGTCCGATACTCTCCTTTTGTGCGTCCGACATCATTCTCAGCAGACTTCATTCTTTTTTGATCTTCTTTTTCTGCTTTAAATCCACAGACCTGTTTGGTTTATTTCTGAAAAGGATCTTTATAAAAGGTATTAGAAACATCCAATTGTTTTGTAATCATCAAAAGATATGAGTTGAGATAAACAATCTCCCCCTTTTTGATGATGACAAAACAATTGGATAGAGCAAAAATATAACAGCTCCCCCTAACGAAGTGCATGAGTAGTATACAGGAAGAAACGCAATCCACATCATCAGTGCTGATCCAACTCAACTCCCCCTGAGACTGACTCCCCCTAACTAGTTACTCTATACCATTTGTGTTAAACCAAATCCAATCCAATTCCAATTCTCCCCCTTTTTGTCATCACAAGATTTAGTATCAATTTAGGTACCAGCAATGTATCTTATCAGAAACAATATCAGTATACACATTTACAATGTACAGCACAGTTTGGAATCAATCATTTAGCTGATATCAATCAGAACCATTCATTCAATCAGCAGATTTCACAAACACATAACCAATCATATCACCCATTCAAAACATTCATAACAAAACACTTAGTTATAACATTCAAGAGCAGTAAAAAAATATCCAGTTGTACAGACCATGTGTTCAGCACTTAATACAAAAGTGCAATGCAAAAGATGAACTATAGTCCTAGATAAAGGTGCAGTGACCTAGTAGTGCCTAGATGGTGATTTTAGATGATCCAGGCCTTCTCCTTGCCAGACGATACTGTGCAGGATCCTCTTCTTCTTTAGTTTCCTCATCACTATCTTCATCTGATTCCTCAGTTGCTGGAGCCTTGCCTTTATCCTTGGGCTGAGAACTGGAAGCTGGTGTAGTCTCAGCACCAGTAGTTGGTCCTGTGGGCTCAGTTCTTGGCTCATTTACATTGTCCTCAGGTGTTGGAGGGACAAGAAGGTTTCTTTTTTCAATGAAGGAGGATTTTTGGTCAGAGGTCATGGTCATCATGAGACCTTCTTCAATAAGCAAGACATGCTGTTTAAGGTCTTCAAGCAAGGAGATGACTTCAGAATTTGATGCGAAGGACCTGCTAGTAGACTTCCTAGGATGAATGGTGAAAGGGGAGACAAAATCTGACTGATCACGAGGAGTCCTAGGAGTGACAGGGGTTTCATGAAAATTTTTTCTTTTAGACTCAGCAACAGTCTCCTTATAGCACCAATGGCCTTCAAAAAATTTTAAATTCTTTCGTTCAAAATAAGCTTTTGAGAAGACTGATGAAGCACTGTCTTTGGGAGATTTTTCAGAAAAAGGAATTTCAAAATGGGCAAAGATAGGGGTCAGAAATCTGCCATAAGAGAGCTTCCTACGGCTATCAGTGCTAATTTTGAGCAAAAACTTGCACATTACAAAACCAAAGTCAACGCGAATTTTTTCAACAAAGCAGTAGAACAGATAGAGTTCCATTTTGTTTGCATCTGTTCTGTGGCCATCAATCAGCACTAACAGATTTGAAATGATGGTGAAGATGATCAGGTTCTGAGGACTAAGATCATTCAGTCTTGCCTCAGCAGGAGTATTGAATGTGGTTTGAAAATATGTCATGAGTTTAGCATTGTAAAAATGATAGTAGGTAGAAGGAAATTCCTCATATGAAAAGAAATTTGTAATTTTTCCTTTGAAGCTAGGTTCAATACTGGTTTTCAGAATGGAATTCACAATGTCAGGAGTTAACATGATGTCTACAGAATTGACCCTAGAGATGAGTTCAGTGTGTGATTTACCCTTTCTAAGATTAGCAAAAAATTGATACAGCATGTCAGGGTAAAAGACATTAGGAATGGTCAAAAGATGAGTCCATTTCTGGAAATCAAACAGTTTGATGACAGGTTCAAGATCAAGCTTACGAAATTCAAAGGGAATGATGAGTCTTTGGGTGATGAACCCTTTTTGAGAGACTAACTCAAATCTGTCTCTGGCTTCATCATCAATGAACTTTGGTAGAGGACTGGGTTCAGGTATGGGCTGAGATACTGGATTCTTCCCAGAACGTGTCCCTTGTGAAGTTTGTGTGGCAGATGCCTCAGCATTTTGAGTCTCAGTCCGTGTTCTTGGAGATTTCCTAGTAGAGGGTTCAGGAGTTTTCTGACTCCCAGTGGTGTTTCCTTCATTCTGCTGATCATCAGAGGGATCAGCAAACTGCTTTTTCTTGGATTGAGGAGTGCTCTTCCTCTTTGCAGACCTCTTTCTTTTAGCAGAGGACTTTGTGACAGCTTTATCACCCCGGACAGCCTGTTCTGGTTCCTTGTTTCCACCAGCAATGTTTTCTTCAGAGCTCTGTTCTTCCAACTGTTCATCAGATGATTCAACAGTTGGAATATCCAGTTTTCTTTGGGCAGTTTACTTCACCTTACCACCACGGGTTACAATCTTCTTTTTGGGAGCCACAAGAGGTGGTTCCAAAATTTCAATGTCTTCATCCCTAAGTCTAAAGGACCGCCCGGCACTGGTAGATCCGCCTCTAATTCTAACCATGATACAATGTAGATATGATTTTGAATAAGGAATGTGGTGTGCAAAGAAAGAGTGCAGTAAGAACCAACTAATGTGCACTGAGATGCCGCAAGGAGGGAGTTATGGGAAGTTAGGGTTTCGTATGTAAATTGGGAGTTTTGGGGTAGTTGGGGGTTAGGAGTGATTTTTATGAGTGATTGAAGAGCGACAGAGGTGTAATTGAGTTGGTTGGTTCAATTCCTCGGAACTTGGTTTGAGGAGAGAGGAATTTGAATTTTAAATATTGGAGGAAACTGAACGGTTGCGTCCGAGACTTAAGAAAAAATGAACTGAGAAGAATGGGTAACTGCCTTATAAGACTCAAGTTTTTGAGTGTCGGACGTCCGAACGAAGTGAAGCGTCCGACACAACCGTCCGAACCAGGGTTTTTTCTGAATTTGGACGAAGAACACTGTTGGACGTCCGTTCCAATTCATTGGACGTCCGATAAAGATTGACTAAAAATAAAACTTAGAATATTTTTTTTGAAACACCCAATTTTGTTCTCAAGGACACGAATTGATCTAACGGAAGAGCTTTTGTGAGGATATCAGTGATCTGATCTTTAGAACAAACAAACTCAACACGGATTACCCCCTTGGAGACAAGATCGCGAATGAAATGATGCTTTACATCAATGTGCTTAGTCCTAGAGTGTTGAATGGGATTTTTTGTCAGATTAATTGCACTAGTGTTGTCACAATACATAGGTACACATTCATATACTAAACCAAAATCATTCAATGTGTTTTTCATCCATAACATTTGAGCACAACAAGCACCAGCAGCAACATATTCAGCTTCAGTAGTGGACAATGAGATAGCATTTTATTTTTTACTAAACCAGGATACCAAGCAATTTCCAAGAAAGTTGCATATACCAGTAGTACTGTTTCTATCTATCTTACAACCTCCAAAGTCAGCATCTGAAAATCCACATAAAGGAAGTTCATGACATTTTGGATACTACAGGCCAAAATTTAAGGTTCCTTTAAGATATCTCAAAATTCTTTTTACTACAATCAAGTGAGATTCCTTTGGATAGGATTGAAATCGAGCACATAAGCATACAGCAAACATGATGTCAGGCCTACTAGCAGTTAAATAAAGTAAACTTCCAATCATACCTCTATACTTCTTTTCCTCAACTTTTGTACTTTCTTCATCTTTGTCAAGTTTGGTAGATGTGCACATAGGTGTTCCAACAGCCTTTGAGTCCTCCATTCTGAATCTTTTCAGCAGCTCCTTGGTATATTTTGTTTGATTTATAAATGTTCCATCTTGTGTTTGAGTTACTTGGAGTCCAAGGAAGAAGTTCAGTTCTCCCATCATGCTCATTTCAAATTCTTTTTGCATTATGATGGAAAAGTCCTTGCATAAGCTCTCATTAGTAGCACTAAATATGATATCATCCACATATATTTGCACAATTAAGAGATCTCGTGAGCTTTGTTTTGTGAAAAGTGTAGTGTCTATAATCCCCCTTTTAAAACCATTTTCAATCAGAAATCCACTCAGACGTTCATACCAAGCTCTAGGAGCTTGCTTTAATCCGTATAAAGCTTTTGAGAGTTTAAAAATATGATCTGGATAAGATTCATTTTCAAAACCAGGAGGTTGGTCAACATAGACTTCTTGATCTATAAAGCCATTTAAGAAAGCACTTTTAACATCTATCTGAAATAATTTAAAATTCTTGAAACATGCAAATGCTAAGAACATTCTTATGGACTCCAGCCTGGCCACAGGTGCAAAAGACTCATCAAAGTCTATTCCCTCTTCTTGAGTGTATCCCTTAGCCACCAACCTGGCCTTATTTCTAACAACCTCCCCTTTATCATTCATTTTATTTTTAAAAACCCACTTGGTGCCAATGATAGGATGACCTTGTGGTCTGGCAACCAGGGTCCAAACCTTGTTTCTTTCAAATTGAGTTAACTTCTCTTCCATAGCTAAAATCCAGTGCTCATCACTCAAAGCATCAACAACATTTTTAGGTTCAATATGTGATATAAAAGCAAGATTATCTACTAGGTGTCTAGAGGAACGAGTTCTGACCTTTTCAGATGGATCACCAATTATAAGCTCCCTAGGATGATTATGAACAAATTTTCCAGGCTCTTGAAAGATCATTGGGAGTAGTGGTATCTCTGTCATTCACTTCTTCAGCTGGACTGACCTGAATATCAGCATCCTTTAAATCAGTCTCTGGTGAAGCAGAGTCATGATCATTGACTGCTAACTTCTTTAGTTCTTCTTGAACATCTGTATCATCATCTTCACCACCATTCATAGAAATGTCACCATTAGATTCATCAAAAGTAATATGTATAGTCTCTTCTATAATCAATATTCTACGATTATAAACTCTAAAGCCTCTTTTGTTTTCACAATATCCCAAGAAAATTCCCTCATCAGATTTCTTATCAAACTTTTCAAGATGCTCCTTGATATTCAAAATGAAACATTTACAACCAAATACTTTGAAGTAACCAACAACAGGCTTTTTGTCAAACATGAGCTCGTATGAAGTTTTGTTCAAAATTGGTTTTAAGAGAACTCTGTTCATGGTATAACATGCTGTGTTTATGGCTTCAGCCCAAAAATATTTTGGTAAATTGCATTCACTAAGCATGGTTCGAGCAGCCTCTTGGAGAGTTCAATTTTTTCTTTCTACAACTCCATTTTGTTGAGGGACTCTAGCAATAGAAAATTTATGAGTAATGCTATTATGATCACAAAATTCTGGAAAGCCACAGAACTTGAATTCTGTCCCATTATCGCTTCTAATCCTGACAATTTTCAATCCAAGCAGATTTTGCACTTTAGCAAATAATGAAGTAAAATTCTTAAAAGCATCATCTTTATGAGCAAGGAATATCACCCAAGTATATCTAGTATAATTATCAACAATCACAAAACAATATCTCTTACCACCAAGGCTTGTAGTTTGTATAGGACCAAACAGGTCAAGATGTAAAAGTTCAAGAGGTTTTGAAGTAGACACACATTTCTTGGGTTTAAAAGATACTTTGATTTGTTTTCCAAATTGACAAGCATCACATATCCGGTCCTTTTCAAATCTGATTTTTGGAAGACCTCTAACTAGTTCCTTTTTAGAGATTTCTTTTAGCAAATCCATATTGAAGTGACACAGCCTTGTATGCCATAACCATGGGTCCTCATTTGCTACTTTAAGACATTTAAGATAGGAGGAATCAATTTTTTCAAGAACAACTACATAAACATCATTAACTCTTTTTCCTTTGAAAACAATGTTGAACTTTGAGTCAAAAATGAGACATTCAAGCTTTTTGAACAATACAAACAGATTCCTATCACACAATTGGCTAACACTTAATAAATTGTAGCTCAGATTGTCAACGAGAAGAACATTATGAATAAAGGTTTGACCATTCCTACCAACATACCAATGCCAACAGTTTTGGCTTTGTTATCATCTCCAAACGTTACCTTTTCACTTGCTTTTTTCTTGAGTTTAACGAACTGTGATGCCTCGTCAGTCATATGTCTAGAACATCCACTATCAATGAACCATTTTGATTCTTTAGTAATGTTATCCTGGTTCACCTACACACAAATTCACAAGATAATACTTGGTACCCTTTACATGTTGGGTCCTTGAGAGTTAGTCTTATGTCTAACTACCCACATGCATCTCATGCCATTCCTCATGTTTTTCTTAACATAACAATTGCTACTCATGTGACCAAATTGACAACAAAAGTTGCATACAGACAATGGATCAATCAAATGAACAGGTTTAATGAATCTGACTTGCCTTCTCCTGTGGATAGCATATTCATTTGCATTTTGATTCAGTCTTATTTGATGAATATTAACATAAGGTACAGTGTCATTCTTTTGAGAGTGGTTCTATTTTATATGTTGCAACACTTGACACAAATCATTCATTCTTCTTTTTAGACTGCATCATTCTTCTTTTGAGTATGTTACACAGTTTTTCCCTTTTTTTAAGATCAGCAAGCACCTCAGTTTCAATCCTTTTCAGATTCTCATTTTCATGCTTAAGACACTTGTTTTGTCGAAAAAGATTTGCATTGTCTTGTATTAAAAAGGTAATTTTCTGCTTTGGTTCCTTATTTTTAACATAAGATTCTTTTAAGCTGTTATGCATTTTTTTTAGAAAAGAGTTAACATCATCATCAGATTCACTATCACTGTCGGTTTGAGAGTTGTATTGTGTTACCTCTTCGTCTCCAATGGCCATGAAAGCCACTTGAGCAGATTCCTCTTCTTCTTCAACTTCGCCTTCTGAGTTGCAATCATTCCAGGTAATCTGGAAATTGTTGAACTTTGATTTTCGTTCAATCTTGCTCTCCTTCTTTTTCTTCATTGGACACTCATTCGCATAGTGTCCTGGTTGGCCACAATCGAAACACTTATCAGTAAGCTTCTTGTTGAACTCCAGTTTCCCTCTGTTTCTGAAGTCATTAGACTGATTTGGGAAGGAATTGCTGGATCCGCCTTTCCTGAATCTTCTCTTGTTGAGAAACCTTTTGAAGCCTCTTGTGATGAGTGCAATATCACTCTCATCACCTTCCAAGTCATTTTCATCCTGTGAGGCAGTTTCATCTTCATCTTGTGAGGCTTTTAGAGCAATGCTCTTTCTCACCTTGGTGTCTTCTTCATCCTGCATCTTAGATTTAAGTTTCAGTTCGTAAGATGTTAGAGAGTTAATCAGAGATTCAATGGATAAGGTGTTTAGATCCTTGGCTTCCTCTATGGCAGTCACTTTGATTTCCCAGTCCTTTGATAGAGCATTCAGAATTTTTCTGTTCTTTTCACCTAGAGAGTACTCCTTCTCAAGCACCTCTAAATCCTTGATCAGATCATTGAATCTACAGTACATTTTGTCAATATTTTCATGAGGTTCCATCTTAAAAGATTCATACTTAGTGACCAGAATGGATTTCTTCTGCTCTCTCACATTTTCGCTTCCCTCATGGATCTCTCTAAGTTTATCCCAAATTTCTTTTGCAGATCTGCAGCCTTTGACTCTAATAGATTCATTTGAATCTAATGCACTGTATAGAACATTCATAGCTTTGGCATTTAGAGTGAGATGAGTTCTATCTTCAGCAGTCAGCTCACTTCTAGTTTTTTGTCTCGGCCTATGAGTAGCTTCATCAATAATAGTTGCGTTATATGGACCCTCACTGACAATAAACCACAACTCAATATCAATAGATTGCAAGAATATAATCATCCTTTCCTTCCAGCTCACATAGTTTGATCCATTGAACATTGAAGATCTAGTGACAGATTGTCCCTAAAAGAACATGCATTGTTGGTTGTCATGTTTACTCCCAAGCCGATTGAGCTTAATCTCTAGGAGACCAAGGTCTGATACCAATTGTAAGGATCGAAGACAACCTAAGAGAATTAGGTTTTCTAAAAATCAGCTGAGATATAAGTCACTCTTTTTTCAAGCCTACCCTGCTTTTCTCAAAAACCACTCAATGGATCAGATTACAAGAAAATACTGATGTTCGTGAGATGAAAGTGTGAACAGATTATATAGTTAAAGCTGTAAATGAAGATAGAGAAAAAAACAAACCAGACTTCAAACTCCACTTGAGTTTGAACAGAACTTTATATAACCAGCTACTTCAAGTTGAACAAGCTTGCAACCAATTTCTTGTGTACAAAGGATGGATCACTTCCTTGTTGCCCCAAACCACACTTGGTCAAGTAAGGAAGTTTTACACACTTTGAAAACCCTCACAAAGCTACACTATTGAAGAAGCTTAGACACACTTGAAAAGCTACAAGAAAATTGAACAAGCAAGGAGTACAAACGTTCCTTTGGAGTATTCTAGCACTTGAATCACTCACTATCTGATGTAGACTTGATGTGCAAAGTTCTTTTTCGGTGGTTGACTTTTTCCTCTTTATAGGAGACCAGAAAATTCTTCAATTAATGCTGTCAACGGATAGAAGGAAACTGAAGAGTCAACTAGCCGTTGGTGCTGTCGGACGTCCGACACTCAGTTTTCATGAGTCCGAACGAGATCAATGATTTCTGGAAGTTTTCTTGAATCTCTTTAGGACATCCGATCCCTCATCACCATGCGTTCGATGTGCAGCAAAGCTTGTCGAACGTCCGATACACAGATGTTGAGCGTCCGATCCTGAACAGTAATCAAGTAACTCCTGGCTTGTCTTCTTCGGACGTCCGAGTCTGAGTTCTTTACTCGTCCGAAGATACTCAAAGAATGTCGGACGTCCGATACTCTCCTTTTGTGCGTCCGACATCATCCTCAGCAGACTTCATTCTTTTTTGATCTTCTTTTTCTGCTTTAAATCCACAGACCTGTTTGGTTCATTTCTGAAAAGGATCTTTATAAAAGGTATTAGAAACATCCAATTGTTTTGTAATCATCAAAAGATATGAGTTGAGATAAACAACTTTGTAACCATCTTCACTAGGATTCCATATTACCTTAGAGCTGAGTCGGCAAGGCTGACAATAAAGAGATGGCTGAGGAGAATAGAAATAATGACAGCAATCAACAGCAGGTAGTGCAACCACCCGTAGGACTTCGTCTTCGGGACATCCAACATCCTGTGATTGCGGCTTCTTCCCACTACATCATACTAAGTGAAGAAGCAAGGAACTATGAGCTCAAAACGATATACTTTAGCATTTTGCCTGCTTTCCATGGTGTAGCCAATGAAGGATCCACTCTTCTTCATAAGAGAATTTTATTCTGTGGTCCAAACTTTCCCTTTGAGTGGAGTACCCGAAGATGACTTACGAATGAGGTGCTTCCCTTATTGTCTAAAGGATTGTGCAAAGTCTTGATTACTTCATCTACCTAAAGGATCTTTGAGGACACGGGAAGATGTTTATAATATCATTATGACCGAGTACTATTCACCTCAGAAAGGAACAAGATTTACACATTTTCTCAAATAGAAGGAGAGCCAATACATTAAGTATAGGAGCACTTTAAGTTACTACCCTCTCCATGTCCTCATCACCAATATTCATTGGTGTTGCAAGTTTAATTTTTCTATGATGGGTTGACCTTAACAACCAAGAATATGGTGGATATTGCTGCAAGAGGGTATATTGGTGACCAAACCCTGGAGGAATTAGTTAGTCTCTATGAATTGTTAGCTAGCAATTCTCAACAAAAGGCAATTCGGGGTAAGAGAGTAGGAGTGCATAAAGTGAATGTGTCACAAGATTTGAGTTCACAGGTAGTTGAATTGAGTCATCAGATGCAACAGCTCTTAAATCGGGTAACTCAATCTTAGTACATGTATAGGAATTCTGCCGTTGGTTGCTATAATAGAGATCCCTCCACCATGGTAGAAGACATTAATTTCACTGAAGCATAAGGTGGGTAGAAGTTGCAGCCAAGGAATGATCCGTTCTCTAATACATACAATGAGAGGTGGAAGAATCACCCTAACTTTTCATGTAAGGATCAAGGAGTTAGACCTATGGGACCACCTGGGTTCCAAAATTTGCAGCAACTTTCTCAATATCCTCCTCAACTTACTTAGGAGAAAAAGTCCAACCTTGAAGAAATGATGCTCCAATACATGCAAAAGTTGGACCAAAGGATGGACCAATTCTATAGAATTGCCCAATCTCAACAAGCCTCCATTCAAAATCTTGAAAGGCAAGTTGGTCTGCTGGTAAAGGCAGTAACTGAAAAGGTACAAGGAAAATTGCTTAGTAGCACTGAGGTGAGTCCAAAAGAAACTACTGTGGCTGTGACTTTTCGTTCAGGTAAAGTATTGGATTATCCTATCATTAAGCCCCAGACTAATCCAAGTGCAAAGCAAGATAGGAGTGAAATTGCCATTAATAGTGAAGAAACTGGAGATTTGGAGAATGGTTTAGGTGAAAAGAATCAAGGGGAAGATAGCCAACGCCTGAGGTGAAATGTTATGTACCGCCTATCTCTTTTCCCCAGAGGTTTAAGAAAAAGGCAACTAATGAGTAATACCAAAAGTTCGTAGAGATGCACATGACACTTCGAGTGAACATGCCTTTTTCTGAAGTTCTTGATAATATACCTGCTTATGCAAAGTTCTTGAAGGAGATAGTGTCTCCTATAAAGAAGTTAGAAGACTTGGCAGAGGTGTCTCTTACTAAGGAATGCAGTGCAGTACTACAAAATCGTCTTCCTATCAAGATGAAAGATCCAACAAGTTTTACTGTGCCTTGCCAATTTGAACATATTCTTGTTGATAAATGTTTGTGCGACCTTGGATCTAGTGTTAATTTGATGCCTCTATCATTTTTTAGGAAATTGAAGTTTGCCAATTTGGGGCCTACTCAAGTGATTCTACAACTGGTTGATCATTTAGTATGTTATCCTGTTGGTATTGTAGAAGATTTGTTAGTTAAAGTCAGTAAATTTTATTTTCCTCCTGATTTTCTTGTTCTTGACATAGAGAAAGATATTTCTGTGTCAATTATCCTTGGTAGAGGGTTCTTAGCTATGGGGGAAGCTAATATAGACTTATTAAAAGGGAAATTGACTTTAAGGGTTGGTAAAAAGAAAGAAGAATTTAATATCTTTGAACCCTTAAAATACTCTTCATATGAGGGGTCTTGTTCCTATATCATTGCTTCTAATGATTTGCATGCTGAAAAATATGTAGTAGAGCAGGATGTAGAGGTCATCCCTTTGCAAAATCATCGTGCATATTCTTCTTCAATAGTTGCACAATGGAGATGCGAAAAATCATGCAAAATTGTAGGCACACAATAAGAAAACTATGAAATCATTTGAACTATTTCATCTACCACAATCATATGTGACCCTGTTTGGCTGAAGACGTTAAACTTAGCGCTTCTCGGGAGGCAACCCAATTTTCTTTTTAATTTCATTTAATATTTTTCTTTCATTTAGGATTAATGGTGGTGTTTATTTCCTTACAATTTTATTGCTTTCTCGTTTGGGTTATTTGGTGGTATAGTTAACTCTTATTTGTAGTGTTTTCTTGTCTTTTTATAGGTTGGTAGGATGGCTTCTTGACCTTGACTATTGGATGGTAACTAGCAACTTCTCTCACCCCATTTGGTCTTTGGCACTTCATTTGTTATTAGAGAAGTTTCATTTTCATCTCTTTTCCTGTTGTTATTTCCTTATTTTATCCCTAACATTGAGGACAATGTTGTCTTAAGTCTGGGAGAGAGGTAAATGGGTGAAGCGAAAATTTTGAATATTTGGGACAAAATTTTTCAAATTTTTATTGTTGATTCCCTGATAAGGCAATGGCTTGCATTTCGAGTGTTATTATTGTTAAAGCGATATGTGTATGAATGTGTTAAGTGTTAAAAGGTGTTGCTTTAAAGAGCTTCTTTGGTGAATATTTGGTATTTTGAGACTTTTTCAATTTTTAGCTAATTTTTCTAGGCATTGTAAATATTTTTCTAGCATTTTTCTTGTGAATTTGGCCTAATTATTAATATTAATTCTCCACATTATTGGGATATGAAGCAGACTTTTATGTTCTTATTCGTGATATATACTTATTTTATTTAGTTGAACTATACTCCGCTAGTTATCGTTGCCTAGTAATCGGGGGTCTCCACCTAAAAATATCGACTTTCATGTCAAAAAATGATGATAGCTATGACTATATGATTTTTGAGCGATGAAAAGTTGAGTAACTGGGCTCTTTCATTTAGAAGATGTTGGAGTTCACGTCAAAATGCTTGAACGGCTAAGAATTAAGTACATTCCCCCTGTTAAAATGTGAAAAATCTTAAGTGTGGGGGAATTTGAAGAGAACTAAGAGAAAAATATGAAAAAAAAAAAGTAAATAAGTGGATATAATAATAATCTACAAATCCATATGATTATATGTTTAAGATTTTGCTTAATAGTTGGGTCATTTGCGAGAAAATGCTGGCTAAATATTTTATATTCCTAGTTTAGTTAGCCAAAGTTAAAGGGTCGATGGGGTTAAAAACAAACCGAAGAAGTATCATTTTGGTTTTCACTATTAAACGCTTAACACTTGTGTAGAATGGTTGCTTTAATATTGATACCCTTGAATATAGCAATTGTTTGGATTTAATTAGTTTTGTTCTTGTGCTTGAGGACAAGCACAGGCTAAGTGTGAGGGAATTTGATAGGATGTAAATTATAGTGCATTTATAGGTATAAGTTGCTAGTTAATTATATTATTTGAGTTTTATCTTGGATAGAAATTGTTTAATTTTTCTCGTATATTGTTCTAATAGGTTAAGAGCTCAATTGAAGAGAAAACAGACTAAAAATCTGATGTGAAGTAGCAATGAAAAAGGAAAAAGTCAAGAGGAACGGGTTTGGCAGGATTGATATATTTTAGGATTTTGGCAATAACTTGAGCTACACAAAGTAGATTGAGATGATTCTTAATTCAATTTGAAGATAAGCGAATGCTCTACAACTCTTATGAAGACATCAAATTTTCGTTCTCACGTTTTCATAGTAAAAAATTCAAATTACTGAAGTATAAGTGCGTTGCGATACTCTTACTACTAGGTTTCAATATTTTAGGCATATCTCAGCGTACAGACCACCAAATGACTTGATTCTTGTGGCATTGGAAAGTTATTTTAGGCAATTTTTTATTTTGAACAAGAACTGATTTGGCCTATTTGATAGAGTTTTTGAAAAATCCAGCATCAGACTTGGCACCGGACTTCACGCCGAACATTGCTAGATTCTGTTATGCTTCTTGCTTGGCCCGAAGACCGACGCCAGACATTGGGCTGGTCATTGGGCCAACCTTCATTGAGAAAAAGTGCAGAAATGTGATTTTTTTAGTCTAATAAAGCCTATTCCTACCCTAGTTAGGATATATCTTCAAGAAACTATAAATAGGGGTTTTTAAGGTCATTTTTAGGGTGGAAAACATTAGTTTAGGCAAGTTTTAACATCTTTTCCTAGTTTCTTCTTGAGAGATTAAGATCAAACAGAGATGAATCATGGAGCGTGCAAGGAGAGAAGATTGAAGCGAGCAATTGAGAAGTTTTCTTATTCTTTGTCTTATCTTTGTAGCAACTCTTTGAATTAGTGGTTATAATTTTCAAATCATATTGAACTAAATTGTTTCTAGGGTTAGGGTTTTTATAAAAGAATTTGATTCATTCTTTTAGTTTAATTCCTTGCCTTTTACTATGATTTATTTATCTTGTTCTTAATGCGTAATTATGCCTGATCACCACGAACATGAAGTTGGGTTTGTGTCAAATTGAGAAAGAAGATACAACCGTGCACTAGGTAGATAAACATATATAGATTAATCATGAGAGTAGATTAGAATGTGCGTGACGCACCTATATTACTGAGAATCTTAATGAGTTTAATTGAACTCTTATGACCATTGAGAGAGGTATAGGATTTAGTTAAACACACTTTAGATGCATCGAGAGGTGGTCTAAAATATAGTCGTGTGATGCGTTCATAGTTTATTAAGAAATAACTAGATAATTGATTCAAATTCTAGTTTAACATATGAAACCCTAGACTGGCGTCTATTTTTTCTCACCACTACTTTATTTGCATTGATTATTTTATTGCTTAGTTAGAAAATATAACTCTTGAATTTGAATTTTATTCTTTTGTTAGAATAATTAAAGTAGAAAATTAATTCATTCCTATGGGTTCAATCCTGGAATACTCCAAGTAATTTATTACTGTGATCGACCATGTGCACTTGCAGGAATTCGTCGATCACTAGTCCATATAATTCTACATTATTCATTCGACGAACTGATGGTGGAATTGTCCTTCTATTACTCTACGTTGATGATATGATAATAACAGGAGATGATGCATCTGGTATTTCAGAAGTACAACATTATTTTAGTCATCATTTTGAAATGAAAGATCTTGGTTTTCTTAGCTATTTTTTGGGTCTTGAAGTTTGTCAAAATTCTGAAGGTTATTATCTCTCTCAAGCCAAGTATGCATCTGACTTACTTTCTCGAGCTAGCATCACTGATAACGAAACGGTATCAACTCCCTTGGAACTCAATTGCAAACTTACACCTCTCAATGGCATTCCCCTTGCTGATCTTCCGTCATACCAACAACTTGTTGGGAGTCTTGTTTGTCTCACTGTTACTCGTCTTGATATCCTATATGCTATTCACCTCGTTAGTTAGTTCATGTCTACTCCTCACTCATCTCATTTCTCTACAGTACTTCGGATCCTTCGCTATATTAAAGGAACTCTTTCATGGTTTACACTTCTCTGCTAACTCATCTTTAGTGCTGATGGGGCCAGTGATGCAACAGATCGTTGCTGTACAACTGGTTACTATTTCTTCTTGGGTGAATGTCTTATATCTTGGCATAGAAAAAAAGCAAACTACCGTTCGCCGCTCTAGCATAGAATCTGAATGTCGTGGTCTTGATGATGCTGCATCTGAATTACCTTGATTATGGTGGTTGTTAACCGATATAGGTGTCACGCATTCTTCTGCCACTATGTTTCATTGTGATAATAGAAATGCCATACAAATATCTCACAATGATGTATTTCATGAGCTTACAAAACACATTGAAATTGATTGTCACTTTGTATGTTATCATGTTACTCATGGCAGTGATTGGATGGTGTATTACAGCAGCGGGGACGTCCTTTGGCGTCAAGGTGCTCATGTTGTGGGGGTGCGACGGAGACCACTGGCCATCTCTTGGTATCTGGGCCAGTGGCTGTGACAGTGTGGAGGTTTTTTGCAGATCGCTTTGGGATTATGACACAGGGGCGGGGGGTGCAGGCTAGACTCTCCAGCTGGTTCTTCTCCCACTCCTGTGTGAGCAGGAATCATATTCGTGTCCTTCTTCCTATGGTGATCCTATGGTTTCTATGGAAATCCCGTAATGCAGCTCGTTTTGAGGGGACGGCCATGTCCCCAGGGATTATCATTTTGCAGGTTAGCGCTTTTATCCAGCAGCTGGGAAGGGGCGGTCGGTTACGCCGGCAGGACTTCCAGGGGGATGCGGATTGCGAGTGGGCGATATTTGGCATAGACAATCGACGGCAGGTTATACCCCGCGCAATTACTTGGGCATTGCCACCCACGTCCTCAGTGAAACTGAATACCGATGCTAGCGTCACCGAGGGGCTGGCCACCGGGGGGGGACTGGTGCGTACCTCAGATGGCGACCTGGTTTTTGCATTCTACAAGGAGTTCGGGGAGTGCGATGTGCTCACAGCAGAGGCGTTGGCGTTATTGGAAGGTTTGCGGTTATGTTATGCTCGGCACATCATGCACTTTGTGGCTGAGGTGGATTCGAGTGTTTTGGTGCGCATGGTCTCCTCTTGCGGCCCTGCCCGATGGCCTTTGGTCAACACTCTACGTCATATTCAATGGCTTTCAGGGCAAATGGGGGTCTCAGTGGCACATATCTATCGAGAAGCAAATACGGTAGCGGATGCCCTTGCGTGCTCGCGGCCTCAACAGGATGGCGTTTTTACTGTCCGGGCTGAGCTTCCTCGGAAGGCCCGGTCCGCCCTCCAATTGGACAGGCTCTCAGTTCCCTCGATTCGGCTAGGCAGGTTCCGACATTAGTTTCGTGTAGTTTTGTCTAGGCTTTTTTGGCTCTGTGTATCTTTGTTCGATCGGTGGCAATAAAAGTTGAGTTATAATAATAATAAAAAAAGGCAGTATAAATGTTACTCATGGCAGTGAATGTTTGGTAACTATTTCCTCTAATTAAACAGCTGATATATTTACCAAAACACATCTTCCGCCTTGCTTTCAAGA